GGCACTAAGTTCAGTCACATCATTGTACAACAATGACTACCATCTGTCTCCAGAATTTATCATTTTACAAAACTGGAGTTCCATACTCATTTATGACAAGCTTTTAAAATCATTTAAAAGTAAAGAATCATTTTGGAGAGACACTTTGAGCAATTGTTCTAGCCAAAGGGTGGATGTCTTTTCCCCCTGATTTTTAGGCATTCTCTTCCAGCTTATTGAGTGCAGCTAGCTGTTCCTTCCACATGACCTCTTCACTGAGCCCCTGGGACTCCTGGCCCTGAAAAGGGCAGCCTGGAGCTGAGGGACAGCTGCTTTGTAGTTCAGGATTATGGACCCGGTGTGCATATGTGTGTCTCCACATATCATAGAGTGATGCAAAAAGCAGATGGGGGCGGGGATTTAGTTCAGTGGTTTCGCCACCTGCTGCGCAAGCACAAGGACCCAAGTTCAATCCCTGGTACCAAAAAAAGAAAAAAGAAATGAAGGGGGAAAAAAAGCAGGTGGTACTCTGATCTCCCAGCAGATCCACTGGAACCCCATCTTGAATGTTAAACAGTGACCCACACAGGGAAAGCAATTTGTTTTCTCCAGTTGATCATCTCTTCCACAAACTGGACTTCTTCTTGTACAGAAACACAAGAGCTGGTCCAAAGCGTCAGTGTTAGGGCTTCCTGGCTCCTGTCCAGAGCTTTTGTTTGCAGAAACAGACAGTGCTTGAGGCTGTGGCAAAACAGCCACAGGTTTTGTGGCAAAACTTGTTAACATCCAGGGCTTTTTTCTGCTTTCCAAACATATGTGAGTCAGACTAGCCCTCTCTCAAGGCTCTGATCTTTTCTTGGGAGAGGAAGTCTCATAAGCAAGTCAAGAAAAAAAGTGTAATGAAGAGGAATAATTGGTTTGGGGATAAAAGGAGGAAATTTTGATCAGTTGGCAAATTTGTGGGTTCTTTTGGTTTTTGCGTTTTGGGGGGTTTTTTCTTTTGTTTTATTTTTTGGGGGGGTGGGGTGGGGATACTGAGGATTGAACCCAGGGAACACTGAGCTACATCTCCAGACTTTCTGTTTACATTTTTTTTTTCTATTTTGAGACAGGATCTTGCTAAGTTGCCCTGGCTGGGTTTGAACTTGTGATTCTCCTGCCTCAGCCTCCCAAGTAGTGAGGGTTTTAGGCATATGCCACCATGCCTGGCTTATTGAAATTATTTTTAGGTAAAGGCATTGGTCTACATTGCTCTAATTTGGTATTGCCTTATACATGTGTCCTTAAAATACAAAACAAACAATGTCTGGGAGGTCAAGACTATTTAAGAAAACTAAACTGGTACCAGTGTTCCAGAAAGGGAGTTCTATTCTCATGGACATGGCCCTGTCTTCCAAAAGCAGCACAATTACAGAGGTCAAATGGTGTGGATTTCCACTCATATTTCATGGTACTAATCACAAAGATCACTAGCACTGGAAACCTTAATTAACAGCTAGTGCCTAACACCTGAGACTCAGAGGTGCATGAGCTGAAAGCACAGTAGACTTCCAGAGTCCCACCTGTAGAGGTGTTCATGGCCCGCAGAACAGGGGATGGGCTGGAGGGCGCTGGGCAGGCCATACCGATTGAGTGAGCACCCACCCTGCCCAGAAGAGGATGGTCCACGGGAATTCTTTTCCCTTTCAAGGTTGCTTAATTAGAACACTGTACCTTGAAGGAAGGAATTCGATTAAATGATCCTGGGGTGATTGAGAATTTCCCTCTCACCTGGGACCCTTGGCAAAGGCCTGTGTTATCACCTCCATCATCACTAAACTCAGGACAGTTCTTGAGTCATCTGCCACTCGTGAGGAATCCATTGCTTCCTCTTCATTCTGAATAGACTTTATGTTTCAGGCCCTCAGTGGACATCTTTCAGACTTTCACTCCACCTGAGTTTTATCTACAACTAAAGTCTGTTATGTAGGACTCGGGTGGACCTTCTCAGAGTTCCAAAGCCAGGTGCAAAAAACATTTTTCATTAAATTTTTTTCTTGTGGCTTTAAAAATTATTTTTGGATTAAATGTTTTTTTAATTAAACATATATTAAGGTATTGTTTCTGATCACTGTGTCACCAACTTAGATTAGGATAGCATATGATTCTTTCATGTATACTCCCTAGGTGATACACCAAGGAATCAAATTAAACATTAAGAATATATATATAATATAATGATTTTATATGTGTATGTGTGTTTCTACTGAGATTAGTTTAAGTTAGAAAATATTAAAAAGAAAATACAGGGTTTCTTTTACTGATGAACATTTAAAAACATTTCTTGAGTAGCAGTTTTCATGGCAGTGTTAGAATGAAGGCTATGAAGTTTAAAAATTATCTTATGTGTGTTCATTTAAAAGAATACCTCATGTCGCCAGGCATGGTAGCTCATGCTTGTAATGCCAGCACTCAGGAGGTGAGACTGGGCTTCATAGCAAGATCCTATCTCAAACACACACAGAGACACACACACACACACACACACACTCCTCAGATAGTGTGGAACTAGTTTGAGAATATTTGCTTTAATAAGACTAATTTTATCAAAATGTGGATTTGTTTTAGTTTTGCTATGGAGCATCTGAGTCAAATGATTCTCTCATTACCAAGATCCTCACACATTTGGAGCTAACTTGCTGGAACTGTGTACTCTAGAATTGCTCAAACTGATTTGTGGCTAGAGCTGTGAAAGAAAATGCCTTCACTCATCTGCTCAACAAATACTTACTGAATATCTACTATGTTCCAAACACTTTTCTAGGACATGGCAGTGAACTAAACAGGGAAAATCTGCGTTTGCATAATCTAGAGGAAGAAACAGAAAAACAGTAAAGATCAGAAAATTATGTAGTATGCTAACAGGTAATTAAATGCTATAAAAATAATTGAAATAGCATAGTCAGAATAGGCCTAAAATGTTAACATCTGAGCAAAGACCTAAAGGAGAGATGAGAGCAAGACCTGTGGATATCTGGGGGGGAAGGGCCAGGATTAGCACATGCAAACAACCTGAGGTGGCACTGTTACAGAAATCTCAGAAAGAAATACACAGAAACACAGAATTCGGATAAAATAATAAAATTTCTTCTTGCGAGTGCGCTGGAACACCAGAAACCAGTCTGGTCAGTATCCGCCCCCTTTGTTTAGCATTTTCCTTTTTGTATACTTTTTAGCCATTATCTCATCCCTAGTGGTCTTTGATTTATAAATACAATTCCAGTTTCTATTTACAAGTCACAGACACAAGATAGGCCATATACATTGTAAATTCACCCTGGCTCGGTAACTTTGTTAGGTTAATGAAGTTACCTGTTAGATAATCCTCACTTTAAACAAGGAGTTATGGGAAAAGCAAATCTTAAAAGAACCCATTACTTATTTTGCTTCTACAATTACCTTAATATTCAATCTATTAAGTTATCTAAAACTTTTCCGTATCAGCACATCCAAGGAAACCAGAGTTAGGTGTGGCCAAGCAACTTAGAGCATGCAGGAAGTAATAGGCTGGGGATTTAGCTCAGTGGTTCCGCTGCCTGCCTTGCAAGTGCAGGGACCTGAGTTTGATCCCCAGTACCAGAAAATAAAAAATAAAAAAGGTTGTAATGGAAGGTGATGGGAATCTGTGAGGTAAGAGAATGTGTGGCAAATTGCCCAGCTGCATAGCTGAGCCAATGGAAGATTTAAACTGAGCTGTAGTAAGATTTAGCTTTTGTTTTAAAGGATCACTATGCATACTGTGACAAAATTAGATTATGGAGAATACAAGTAGAAGTGACAGACTAGCCAAGCTGGTACTGTAATCCCAGCACTTGGGAGGCTAAGGCAAGAGGATCCTCACGTGTTTGAGGCCAGCCTGGGCTATATAGCAAGACCCTGTCTCAAAAAACCAAAATGAATGAATGAATGAATGAATGAATAGACTAACTGGGAAGTTGTTATATTAGTCCATGTGAGAAATGATAGCAGCTTGGATGAGTGGAGGCAGTAAGAAGTGAGTGGATTCTGGACATCTTTTCCTCCCTTTCTTTACTCTTTTAGTTTTTTCAGATAGCATATTATTATGTAGTCCAGGCTGAACTTGAACTCACTGCATAGCCCAGGATGGCCTCAAACTCACCATCCTCCTGCACCAACCTTCTGAATACTGGGATTGTAGGCATGCTCCACCACTCCCAGCTTTTGACACATTTTCGAGGGGAGAACCAACAGGAATTCCTGACAGCCTGGAAGTGGAGGGTGAGAGGAGTGGCACAGGACACTCTGGTGTTGGGTCTGGGTGCCTTGGTTCATTTGGGCTGCTCCAACAAATAGCATAGCCTGGGCAGCTTACACACAACAGAAAGGGATTCCTTGCTGTTCCAGAAGCTGGGAAGCCCAACAGCAAGGTGCCAACAGTCTGATGTCTGGGAGTGGGGCTGTTTCTTCACAGATGGTCATCTTGTCCTTCTGCCTTCACATGGCAGAAGAGACGAGGAACTGCCACCCGGCTTGAAAGCGCAAGGTCCTGAGTTTGATCCCCGGTACCAAAAAAAAAAAAAAAAGAAGAGACGAGGAGTCTCCCGGCTCTATTGTGAGGGCATTAATTCCATTTATGGGGCACTGCCCTAATTACCTTTCTCCAGCCCCACCTCTTTGGGTTAGGCTTTGAACATATGGATTGGGGGTGAGGGATAAGCATTTGAAAGCTTGAAACTATTGCTCAGGAATTACATAAATTCTGCTGTGAAAATCACCACATTAATGATGAAATGTGTACATTAATTACCTCCTATTAAACAATTATAAAGCATTACATTTAAAAAATTTGTTTTATAATCTAATTCATGTATCACTGTTCTCCTTGGGTCATACCTATCCTCCTGATTTATAAAACTCTTTCTCAGTACTGCAGTTAGGCCTTCCATGTTTCCAGGAACACTAGGAAAGGACAAATGTGACTTGTGTCCTTTTTAACAGTCCTTGCTCTGCATTCTTCCAAGGCTACTACATGTACATCGAGGCGTCACACATGGTGTATGGACAGAAAGCACGCCTCCTGTCCAGGCCTCTGCGAGGTGTTCCCGGAAAACACTGCTTGACCTTTTTCTACCACATGTATGGAGCAGGGACTGGTCTGCTGAGTGTTTATTTGAAAAAAGAAGAACACAGTGAAGAATCTCTGTTATGGAGAAGAAGAGGTGAGCAGAGCATTTCCTGGCTTCAAGCACCGATCGAGTACAGCTGCCCTCACCCACACCAGGTGAGCCAGAAGAGATAAACATCCAGTGAGCATGCATCTCCCCTTCTGATGTCCTTTTTACTTGCTAGAAAAAGTAGCAAGAGCATATTTTGTCATTTTTCAGGGTCACAGACAAAGGCAGGATTAGTTTAAGAGTAAACATAATTAGCTTCTATGTTGATTAAATCTAAGCGGCGAATGGGAAATTAGACAGGGACAGAAAGCTTTGGATATTTTTGCATAAAGTAATTTTTTTGCAATTCAGTGATGAAAGCATGTCTATTTTTGTCTTGGTACGTTGTGAATGTTAAGTATATTTCCATGTGTCCTACAAATCTCCAAAGTGAAGCTATCCTTCCTTCTAAATATGTTATTGCCTAATTAGTTGCTGCAGCTGCACCCTTTACTCATCATCACCCACGTGCTTGGAAGGGCTTTTGTTTTAGGCCTCTATTTAAGCCTGCGTGTGGTCCAGAAGGAGTTGTTTTTAGCCTCCGCTCCCAACACTGCATTGACGTAGAAGAAACAGTCTCGATCCCAAGTCTCCATCCTGCCTCAGCCCAATCATGTACTACAGAAACTCCTCTCCTAGATGATCTTGATCATAAGGGAATCTGGGCAGCAACAGGAAAGATCTTTTTAAATTCCTATAAATGAGTCAGAGCAATCAATATAGTCTAGAGAACAGGGTCAGCTTTCTTGGATTTTTTTTCCTTTTGGCAAACTCAAGACCCCACACATGCTATACAATCATTCTACTGCTGAGCTATATCTACGACAGAGGCACCTTTCTGTTAATGACCAACTTCACCTGCTTACCCTGAGCCAATGCTCCAGAAAGATTTGGGGCGATAATCTCCAGACTCCTGTTGTTTTTGAAATTGTTCTGCAGAATCTTTGAGCCCGGGTTCATTCTCATTCTTGCTTCTGGCTGATAACTCCTGGGCCAGAATTCCTTACCTTTAGCCACTGGCAGTGGGTCTAACCTCATTTCTTCATGGGAAGAGTTATCCAAAATAAGGACTTTATTTTGTCCCACCCCACAATTGAACAAAAATTTTTACAAATGTAAATTGGAAGGAATTGGAAAAGCTCAGGTGGCCAGAATACAGTGCCATCTAGGGTGCCACACTGCTAAATAACAAATGACAAAAGGGAGATGTGCCATTGTCCGTGAAAGGCTTCGTAGTGCAACATGGATAAACTATCTAGAAATTTAGTGAAGAATAACAGCCCCATGAATAATTTTGATAGTGGTATGCCTGTTATAGAAGGAAAGTAAATTGCTCAGGAACTTAATACAATTTATCCTTATTCAGAGATATTGATTTGATTTTGTTAGGGCATTCATACTTTTATCAAAGGGTTCTCAACACGTGGTCCAGGTACTGGTAGCATTAGCAATATCTGTAATGCAAGTTCACCAGAAATGCATATTCTCAGTGCAACCTCAGAAACACTGAATCAGAAACTCTGGGGCCCCAGAAATCCGTTTGAATAAGTCCTCCAGGTGATTCTGATGCATCTTAAAGATAGAGAATCTTTACAGTAGACAAAATCAATCTGAATCTTTTGGGGATGGTGCTGGAGCATGCATTCTTTCCTTTATTTATTGAGGTACAGGGTTGGAACCCAGGGCCTCACACATGCTAGGCAAGTGCTCTGCTACTGAGCTGCACCCCTGACCCAACCCTAATATTTTTTAAAACTCTTAGCTCTGGGGTTAGGCACAGGGCTTTTCACATACTAGATTTGTTAGGTATCTGGTCATTTGAAATGTTTTTTGAACAGTGAGGCATCTGAGGTGGCATCTTTGAGTGTTCAAGTCCACGAGGTATGGAATAACTCCACAGATTTTCTGGAAGACTCTACATTGTCCCCTTTGGCTAAAACGAAACAGATGAGAATCTCCTCTGGACTTAGCGATTACCTCAGTAATCCCAAAGAACTGCATCGGACTAAACTAATTGCTCTAAAGTATCCTACTGTCCAATAAAATGCAGGCACACTCATGTGCACATGGATTGGCCATCTCTTATGAGCCAGTCACCTGTAGTGCTCAGAGCTGTTTATATGTTTTTTTGCTGATCTTGTATTTTACAGATTGGGGTAAAGATCAGCCAAACCCTGATGGTTACCTGAGGCTGGTGGTGGTAGGCAGAGGGAAAGAATAGGAAGTTGTTGGTCAAAGACAACAAAGTTCCAGATAGACAAGAGGAATAAGTTTTGAGATCTATTGCACAGTAGGGTATCTATAGTTAACAATAATGAACTAAACTCCAGTATCACAATAGTAATAATAATAATGATCTGTGTATTTCAAACAATGACTTTCCACAAAAATGTCTCACCATAATAATTTTAAGTAAGACAATAGATACACTAAACGGTTTGATTTAATTATTCTGCACTGCACATATATATCAAAACATCACATTGTACCTTATAAAGGTATATGATTAAGATTTTTCATTTAAAATATATTTTAAATGAAAAGAGGGAAGAAGGTAGGGGAAGAGAAGGAGAAAGTCAAATCAGTCAGGTGATAAAACCAAAGAAGTATTGGGATAATTATGAACAACCTTGGAGAAAAGGGTAAGAGTTTGAAATCTATTTCAAGAGCAATACAAAGCCATCAGGTGGCTTTAAAAAATTAATATGATCTGACTATAAAACAATCACTCCAGCCGGGTGTGGTGGCACTCATGTAAGACTAGCACTTGGGTGGTTGAGGCAGAGGATTGCCACGAGTTTGAGTCCTGGGCTACACAGTGAGCTCAAGGATAGCCTGAACTACAGAGCAAGACCCTGTGCATCAACTGGAGACTGGATAAAGAAAATGTGGGGTTTTTTTTGTAATAAAATGGAGTACTACTCATCCATAAAGA